GGTATGCTCACTTATTCATAGGTGTACGTACATACATGCATCGCCATTAAACATATATATATATGTGTGTAGACGTAGACAAATGTACATGTACACATGAAAATGTCTATGGTTATGTATGCGTATAGACATACGTCATTATGGCCCTTCTCCTTCCACAAGTCCCTGTCTCTTCTCTCTCTCTCTGTCTATATCTCCCTTTTTCCCTCCTCCTCGCCTTCCTCATCGTCATCCTTATCCTCCTCCTCCTCATACTCGTCTCTTCTTCCTCCTCCTCCTCCTTTTCCTCTTCCTCCTCATCCCATCGTCATCCTCATGCTTCTCATCCTCGTCTTCTCCTCGTCCTCGGCTCCTGCTCATCCTCGTCTCCTCCTCCTCCTCCTCCTCCTCCTCCTCTTCCTCATCCTTCTCGTCCCCGTCGTCTCCTACAGACCCTTGTTCTCCTCCCACCCTCCTCCTCAGGTTTACTATTCTATGATGACCCGCATCTTCCGAACCTCCTACTTTGCCCCCTCATCCTCATACCCTCCTGCTTCTGCTGATGATCCCGCTGATGCTGCCGCCGTCCTATTTGCTGGTGGTGCTGCCATTGACAGGGGCGGGGGATGGGGGGGAGAACTAGGACGTGTATGGCGGTCTGGCAGGGGGAGGGTCTAAGCAGATCCAGGGGATCCTCCGTCTCTTCCTCCTCTTCCTCCTCCTGCTGATCAGGCTCCTCCCCTTCCTCTTCGTCCATCTCCTTCTCTTCACTCGCCTTCCACTCCTCCTCCGCCTTCTCCTCCTCCTCCTCCTGTCCCTTCACACGAGCCCCTCCTCCTCGCCCCTTCCCGTGCCAACACTTTCCCTTCCTTCTCCTTGACCCGTCGTCCTCCTCCTCGTCCTCCTCCGCCTCCTTTTCCTCCTCCTCATCCTCATCCACCTCCTCGTGGTCCACCTCCTCGTCCTGCTCCGTCAAATTAACTCCTCCATGTCGCATCCCGACCGAGACGACTTGGTAGGGCGGGCCAAGCGGGATGCCTCAAGCTTCCTCACCATTTGTGACCCTGAGGATTAACATCTGAGACCGTCTCTCGGATGGAGGGCGGGCCGTTTGCAACATGTCGCTCTCGCCACACCGCCGCGCACATTGGTCTCCATTTCAATATGTCGCTCCACGGTTGGAGGGTGATCTCCATTTCAATATGTCGCTCTCGTCTCAGCGCCGCGCACATTCGTTTCAACAGTTTGCAGCAGCTTTGCGAATGGAGGGCGGTTTCTTTTCAAAGTGTGGCTCTCGCCTCAACGCCGCGCACATCCGTCTTACATGGTTGCAAGAATTTCACGGGTGGAAGGCGATTCCTTTTCAATGTGTGGCTCTCGCATCAATGCAGCGCACATTCGTGTCAAACATGGCCATGGCTTTCCGGATGGAAGGCGACTCCGTTTCGCAAAGGGTGTCTTGCTTGGCTTCGCGCGCGTTCGCGATAGAAGTGTGCAAGCAGTTTCACGGACGGCAGGTGGTTCCTTTTCAACATGTGGCTCTCGCCTTACCGCCGCGAATATGCACCTCAACACTTTTTCAAACATTCGTATGGCTGACGTCCCAGACATGATGTGTTTGGCAGACTTAAGATTGGCAGGGCACGACAGTCATGTTGACTCGCGAAGCTGGCGTCCCAGAAAATTGTGCTCTGGTGCGATCTCGGATCTTCAGGCAGCAGCAGAAACGTTGAACCGCGGAGTTGAAGTACCAGGAGTGCTGCTCAGGCACGGTTGAACATTTTCAGACGGTTGTCTTCCAACGGGGCTCTTCCCGCAGTGAAGATACATCCCCTAGAGGATCCGGTGAAAAGGGAACTTGGAGGGAGGGTGTATTGCAACATCGTTGGTGAGTCTTGGGCTTGCACTGGTCTTCCTTCTTCCTCCCCACGCCTCCGACCCACAGGGGATCCCCAGCGATGGCAGACCACGCTGGCTGACGCACAGAGAGAACACGAAGGGGACGAGGCAGGAGACGAGGAACGGGGCGAGGACAGACGAGGAGGGGCAAAAAACTTCCGAGGTCGCTAGGCCTCCCCCCACAACAAAAATACCAGGTGCGGCGACGAGGGGGCAGGGGCAGGAGGAGGGGGGATCATGGCCCGGGGCACGAGCGCGGACGAGTGAGGGGGTGGAGGAGGAGGGGGAGGAGGAGGAGAAGGAGGAGGAGGAGGTGGAAGAGGAAGAGGAGGGAGTAGAAACAGGACCTGGAAGAGCAAGAGCAAGCGGAGGAGGAGGAGGAGGAGGAGGAGGAGAAGGAGGAGGAGGAGGAGGAGGAGGAGGAGGAGGAGGACGTCGGCGACGCCTGGGGCACGTGCGCGGACGAGTGAGGGGGGGGGGGCAGGGGGGCACACTGAAAGACGACGAGCCAGGAGCTCCGAGAGTCTTCGTAGCCTTGGCGGTGATGTCCACGACTCCCAAGCTTCGGCGCGCGGCAGCGGCCCCGGCGACACGCTGTGCCCTGCGACCTGGACAGCGTGTCGCGCGGCCTCGTGGTGCGGGAGGCTGGGAATAACTCGGGGCGATGGCCTTCGTGGACCAGGGACGTGGTCAGCGCGTCGCGCCGACGCTTGGTGGGCCGAACCTGGCGGCGCGCCACGCGAAGCAATAGTTCCCGCCCGTATAGGGCCCACAGAAGATCCTCGAATCCCTCCCGGGGCCGCGTTTTCGTCTAGGGAAGCTTGGGCGGTCCCAGGGGGGCGAAGAGGAGGAGTCCAGTACCCTTGGGGACCAGCCGTGCAACCACTCTAGGATGGGTTCAAATGAGACGTGACACTGAGGCACCCTCCACCTCTGAACACAGGAGAAGCACGGCCGCTCGGAACGGGGTGATTTGAGAGAAGGAGGAGAAGGAGGAGGAGGAGGAGAAGAAGGAGGAGGAGGAGGAGGAGGAGGAGGAGAAGGAGGAGGAGGAGGAGGAGGAGGAGGAGGAGGTGGTGACCCGGCGGGGGGCGGGGCTGCGCGACCCCGAGTTTTGCCGTGGCCGCCGCTGCCGTCCAGAGCCCCTGTGACGCGGACAGGGTATGGCCGGCGGCACCTGTATCCATGTCCAATGCGTCTTTTGGAGGCCTGGAAATCGGCACCAACACCAAGACAGGGGGCTGCCTCCACATGGGGGAGATGATCCTAGATTTCGGTGTTGGTGGCAATATGTCGGCCACCTCGGAAGCCAGAACATTACCACCATCACCGAGATCGGGATCTTTGCTTCCCTCGCTGGAGGAACACCGCCGATATTGGTGTTGGTGCCAGCCTCTAGGCCTGCGAGTCTTGGAGTTTCGGGTTCCCTTCCCCAGGACCCCCAGGCGCGGTGGAGATGGAGAAGCAGCCGGCCCCCAGGGGCTACAGGCTGTCGTCCACATCCGCTGCGCCTCGGCCTGTTGGCGCCCCTTTCCCCGCAAGTCCAAGACGCAGAGGACTGGCGGCGCGCGCAGCGGGGCGGAGGGAGGGGGGGGGGAAGGCGTCTTAGGAGGCGGCTTCTCAGAAGGCGCTGGCCTGACGTCTGTAGACAAGGCCCGCGCCTTCCAAGAAGCAGGGGTGCTTCTGAGGAGCCTCCTCCCCCCTCTCCCCATCCCCCCTCTGCGCGCGGCTGCGCGGATACGGGCATACATCTTGCCCGCAGCTCAGGCGCCCCGCCTCGGTGCGCGCCAAAACGCAGCTCGGCCGCCAGCGTGTCCCGCCCCTGGGCTCTGCCACTGGTGCGAGGAGGCAGCTCCCGGGAGGTCCTCGTCGGGACGATCTAGTAAGGGCAACTGAGCCCGACTAAAGGGGGCACTGGGCCAAGTTGGGCAGGGCTAAGCCCAGGATGGAACGGAGTTGGACGGGAAGTGAGCGGGATTGAACCAGAATCGGCCGTTTCGACCAGTGATCTACCAAAGCCGATTCAGAACTTTAACCTCCCAGGAGTTGCGTCCCAACTGGTGGTACCTGGCGCCGTGGTACACGCACAGCGTAGCGTTGTAGCTGCACGCGGCGCCGCTGCGGCAGGCCGCGCCGCAGACCCCCCCAGTCGAGAGCATGGCCAGCGCGCTCGCCCCGCCGGCCGTTGCGCCTGCGCCACTCGACGAAGATCTCCGCCACGCCCACGCACCCGGGCGAGGCGATGCCGCAGCGGCAGCCCTGCCCGGCCGCCGCGGACGCGGCGCAGCAGCCCCCGAAGCGCACGGACGGGTCGGCGGCGTCCCAGCACAGCATCACGGGCCTGGGCGGCGGCTCCGGCCGCGACGCGAACTCGTAGGCGTGGCCGGCGTTACGCGGCAACGCCGCTGGGGCCCCGCGATGCGCCGCCAGCGGGCCCGCCAATGACGAGGCGTAGATGCCGCCGTTGCCGCTGCCGCACACGACCAGCTCTTCTCCCGGCAGAGGGGCCAACCCAGGCTCTCTCGTGCACTGCCGCCACCGGCGCCAGCAGCCAGCCCGTGGCGTCGAGGTTGAGCTCGCGCGCCGCGCCGCAGCAGGCGCCGCCGTGCAAGCTCTGGTGCGCGCGCGGCCAGGGCCAGCCTTCCTCGCCGGGCGGCGCGAAGCCCTCCAGCGCCAGGGCGGCGAAGCCGCGCTCGAGGAGCGGGCCGCAGTGCCCCTGCGCTGAGGCCCCGGAGCCGGGCAGGCACAGCAGCAGCGGCACCCAGGTGGCCTGGCCCTCGCAGGCCGCGCGCGGCACGTGCACCAGGTACGCCCTGCGCAGCCCGCCGTGGGAGAACTCCCCGTGCGCCGACGTGTCGCACGTCGCCGCGCACATCGAGCGCCCAGGGAGCAGAACGAGTAGCAATGGCACGCCGCCGGGACCCATAAGCGCGTCACTTCTGAAGAAAACCAGGCCTTCGGACAGAGACGAAGGAGTACCACGCTGACGGGCTGCCAAACACAGCATGTCAGTGATACTTCTTCTACCTCCCGAGCCCCCCTGCACGCTCCTCGGCTCTCGCTCATGCGTCGCAGGGGCGTGGGCAAGCGAGAGCAAGTGACGGCTCGGGACTGCGAGGGGGGGGGGAGCTTAAGCCAAGCTGCGGCAATCGAATTTGATTACGCACGCCGACGCACAACATGGCAGAAGTGGATGGCGCCAAAGGGACACTTTCGGGGCAACTCCGACTGTAGTCCTCTGCCTCTGCACTCCAGGGCCCGACGTCGACTGCAACACCGTCATGCTTTGGGTGGCGTCCAGCGGGGCTGATCGACGCCAGGAGTGTATCCTCCTTGGTGACCCTTTGGGCGGGGAGTGGACGGCACTCCCGGAGGAGACCTCGTACCTGGGTCGTCGCTGGTATAGACCTCACAGCGACGGCAAGCCACACTCACAAAACTAGTCCTGGTCACGGGCGGCGAGACCAGCCATGGTGGTGACCGAGCTCCGCAAACCTCGGAGCATCGAAACCTCGGGTCCCGAACCCAGGACCCCTCGGGTCCCGAACCCAGGACCCCTCGGCAGATTCCAGCCGACGGCCTCAGCACAGAGCAGGACCCCCTGAAGCACCGATCGAACTGCCAATATCTGCCACCCCAGCTCCAAGCATGGACGTCACGTAGCGGCTTGGCTGTCACAGGAGCTTCTGGCCTCAGAGAGGTCGAGACGCGGCCAGAGCGGCGTCAGTTCTCCAGCCAAGGTGCAGCAGAGCTTCGAGATGCGCAACGCACGTTCCAGTTCGTATGGGCTGGGATCACTGTCTCTAGCGAACTTGTTGAAACTTACCAGTGAGGTCAGTCCAGTGGGCTGAACGACAAAAAACTACCACTGTAACAGTGCTGATGAGACTGTCGACTTCCACGCGGCCGAGAAGGCAAGGCACCCTGCAGGAGAAGAGAGAAGAGACGAGAGAGGTGCGATTAGAGAGGAAACAGGAGGAAGGAGAGAGGAGGAAGAAGGGAGGAGGAGGAGGAGGAGGAGGAGGAGGAGGAGGAGAAGGAGGAAAAAGAGGAGGATAAAGGGAGAAGGAGGAGGAGGAGGAGGAGGAGGAGAAGGGAGGAGAAGAGAGAAAGAGGTCGAGGAGATGGACAAGGAAAGGGAGGAGGAGGCGGAGGAGGGAGGACTGGGCTTCGTGTGACCTCGTTTAGTGATGTGCACCATTGCCGGCCCCCCAACGAAAAAACAGCAACTACCAACTACGGCAGACATGGGTCAATGATTCTGACATGTTCTGTGGCTTCGAGGTTCAATCACTCACCCGCCTCCCTTACTCGGGATCCTTGCTATATCCGATCGGTGGGATAGGGGGAGAAGAGGAGGACGAGGAGGACGAGGAGGACGAGGAGGAGGAGGAGGAGGAGGAGGAGGAGGGGGGAGGAGGGAGGAGGGACGAGGAGGAGGAGCAGGAGGACAAGGAGGAGGGAGAAGGGAGAAGAGGAGGGAAACCTAGGAGAAGAGACAGAGGAGGAGGAGGGAGAGGAAAGGAGAGGAGGAGAGAGGAGAAGAGAGGAAGAGGAGAGAGGAGGAGGGAGGAGGAGGAGAGGAGGAGGAGGAGGAGGAGGAGGAGGAGGAGAGGAGGAGGAGGAGGAGGAGGAGGAGGAGGAGGAGGAGCCAGAGAAGGAGGGAGCAAGAAGTGGGCCAGGAGCAGCTGGGCGGGCCTGCCGGCTGCTCTGGCTGTCGGCCTGGGCCTGGAGCGCGGCCACGTCCGCGCGGCGGGCGAGGAGCCTCTCCGCCTGGGCCTGGTCGAAGGTGACGCCGTACCTGCCCATCACCTGCCGGTGCGAGGGATGGAGAGCTCCCAGCTCCGCTCGCCGCGAGAGCATCGGGAGCGGCAAAGAGGGGGGTGTCGAAGAGGGGGGGGTGCAAATCATGACGGGCGGCACGTGCGCGGCCCAGCGGGGGGGCCTGGGACGTAACGAAACAAGAGGAGGCGCCATGAGATCTGAGGAAAAATCATGGCCCTCGCCATGATATCCCCCCCCCCCTAGTCCTCACCCCCCTCTTTTCCGCCCCCGAGCTTTGGGCCTCTGGGGGCCCTCACCAGGCAACGGGCCATCCAAAGAGAGGCCGGATGAAACACGGGTCCCCGGGGAAGCGGTCGACAGGTCGGGTGCCCGTGTCTGGGAAAAACCGAAACGCCGATTGATGGGGAGGCATCGGATTGCAAGAACGCCTGGCTTCCAGACTTTTTCGAGCTGGGCCCTCACAGATCGATCAGGCTCGGCAAATGGCGCAGAGAGATGGGGTCCAGAGCTATGGCCTTGATCTTTCACCATGTTGCAACTTGTTTCGCTACGACGGCTCTGACTATCAAGGGCGACTCACTCGCCCATTCACATCTTTGTTTCATCGACGGACTACATCTCGAAAATGAGCAACAATCGACGAACGATTGGCAGAATTGCCCAAGCAGGAGTGCAGAGGCGATATGCAGATATTGGGCGACGCCCCAAGGTCAGCCGACTCTGGCCCGGAACTGGCAGCCACAGGGGGAGGAAGAAAGTGCAAGACTGGCACATCCACAGATGCAGTCCGGACTGATTGCAAATGACACCCGAAAGGACACAAGTCCCTTCCGAGGGCAACGGTCGCTGCAGGTTCATGACGTGACGACGCCATCGGCGTTGGATAATGCAGACTTGAGCGCGCAGCCCAAAGGCTTCTTCCGAGCAGCTACCCGTGCTCCAGAGTGATTAAAGGACGTGAAACGCGACACTCAACACACAAGCGTACACGTCGGTCGGAAGAAGTAAGTAAACACATGAAGTAGGAAGGCGGATTCAGTGGACTGGGTCCAGGCCCCCCCAGAGAATAACAAAGCACAGCAAAAGCGTGCCGATTCTTGAAGTAGGAAGGCGCTTGAAGTAGACTGGGATCTGGGAATCCAAAAATACCTACTTTCAACGACCCGCGTGTCGGGCATTTCGGACCACGGCCCACTTGTGGGAGTGACGCCCCGACTGTTGCGGCTGGATGCGCCCCGCTGGCGCCGTACCTGCGGTGACTCTGTACCATAGCTTTGAAGGGGCCCTGGGACACACAAACATACACACAAATAAAAGGATCCCCCACATTTTCTCATATCTTCTGGGATTTCGTCTTCCCCCCCACTTCCCATATTTTCCCATATTTTCCTGGGGATCGACGATTCATCGTGTCTGTGTGTTTTTTCCCCTCCGAACCATGTGAAACTCAGACGCAACAAGCTCGATCGGGCCTCTGAGCGGGAACCCCGCCGAACCCTTCCCCGATCACCTCCACCCGCTCGTTGCCTCCACCCGCTCGATCACCTCCCCCGGCTCCCAAATCTGTGGGATTCCGCCCCCCCCCCCTCCCGCCCCCAGAACGACCGTGCCAGGAGTGATAGGCGTGTTCTCCACCACCACCACCACCACCATGAGTTTTGAGAGGGAGGAGGTCCTCCTCCTTCCTCCTCCTCCTCCTCCTCCTCCTGCTCCTCCTCATCCTTCACCTCCTCCTCATCCTCCACCTGCTGGTGGTGGTGGTGGTGGAAAGCAGGCCCAGCAAGGCGGGGGCGCTCCTCCTGGAGGTTCGCGAGCTTCTCCGCGCCTGGGCGGGCCCCGCTCTCTGGTCGGTGGCGCCCCCCTCCGCCCGCCGCGCGGCGGAGGAGGGGGGGTCGGAGGGGGGAGGCGGGCTGACGCAGGCAGGCGGCAGCGCAGAGTGGAGGGGGGGAGAGAAGAGAGGCAGGAATATGCAGAAAGCATCTATACACCACCGCCGTGCCAGGCCAGGGCCATCCAGGGCCACAGGATGGCGTGTACGCCCTCCTGGCCGAGCCAGGAGGGTCTATACACCATCCTGCGGCCCAGGATGGCCCTGGCCTGGCACGGTGGTGGTGTATAGATGCCTTCGTCGGAAGGAACGCCACCGATGGCGAGCATCTCCACAGCTGGCACGCGGCCAGCGCTCCATCCAGGCTGGGCCATCGCACGCGTCTATACGTAAACACCAGGGCGCCGTGATCCGTTCTCGGATCGAGCAGACTTGAAAAACAACAAGCAATTTCGGACTGCGACTGCTCTGCTGCGCCAGATGCTGTTTGTTCGACGTGATGGCACAGGAGTTCGGTGGCAACGCGTGGGAGCCCCCACTGCCGTCTTGCTGGCTCTTGCGAATCGACGCTGATGGATGCGAGTCGACGCTGATCGACACGCCCAGCGGCGCTAAGTCGACGCCGAATCGGCGCTCACTCATCGACTGCCAGACACTAGTGCACGCGAGTGCACTCTACAGACGGAACTGCGAGAACAGATCAGGCTCCCGGGATCTGCGACCGAAGCAGACAGGCAGGAGCACCGCCGATCTGGCGCAGGTAGCCCTCTGGAGGGCAGCCCGACGGAGAGGCCCAGGGCGGGCCCGCCCACCTGCCTCGTGGCCTCGTGGGCCAGGTGGCGGCAGGCTGGCAACAGCCTGGAGCGGTTCGTGTTCGCGTGTTCGAAGGCAACTCATGCGAGCTTGTTGGCTTTATGGACGCTAATCGACGCTAGCCGACGCTAAACCGGCGCTAGTCGACGCTAATCGACGCCCATCGACATTGGCGCATCATCATCGACCACCAGGCGCTTATCGACGCCCATGCGCTCAAAGACGGTCTTCTGAGGGTACACCAAGCTCCAATGACTTGAAACCGAGCTCGATGTCTGGTTGTGCCACCCTCGTGTGTGTATGTGTGTATGTGTATGTGTGTGTGGGTTTGCGGGCGCTCTCTGGATCCGTATCCCTTCATACCCCGCCCGCCGCCACCCCACCACCCGCCCACTCGCCCAACCGCCAGTTTACCCGGAACCCACCCTTCACGGTGCACTTGCCCTCCCATCATGTGCGTACGTATCCAAAATCACTGACCACTCCACCACTCGCCACCCACCCATCCACCCACCAATCACATTCCACTCATCACCAGTCACACCCACCCACCCACCGACCATCGTTCATCGCCAATCCACTATGCACCAAAGGAGGAGAACGACCAGTGCTTCCGACACACGTGCGGAACGTAGCGCCTAAACGACCCGCCCTGGCCAAAGTGTGGACCACGGGGGTACGCCCGCGGATGGCACAGGCGACGGGGCGATCGGGAAAGATGGAGGTCTCCAGAGGCCTCTGGAGGACCCCAAGGGCAAAACACACAACCAAAACATTGGCTTTCGCTGAGAAACAAGGGGAGATGCCTTGAACTATGCGCATCTAACTCCTGCGAAGTTTCCTCTTCCTGCCGAGCTGGCCCGCGACCGCGACCACGCCCGTTCGGCAGTGCAGGGGAACACATGCAGACGCATGGGCGGAGCGCTGCAGGGCCCACGGGGCGAAACACAGAGGGCTGAGAAGGAGAAGGGAGGAATCCGCCGACCCCTTGGGGATCATCGGCGTGTGAGATGCCCCCCCCTCCCCAAACCCCTCCCCCGGAAGTCGGGAGGCCGGTCCGGTCGATTTGGAGGGGGGCAGGGGGGTGGGGCCCGACGAGCGCGCCACGGGCTCTTCCAGGCCCAAGAGGGCTTAAAGATGGGCCAAGAAGGCCCCAAGAGGGTTCCAAGACGGCCCACGAGGGCCCCGGGACGCTAAACGAGCGCTCCAAGACGCCCAAGATGGCCCCAAGACGGGCCAAGAGGCCTCCAAGACGGCCCCAGAGGTCCCAAACAAGCCTCCCAAGAGGGCCCCGAGAGGCTAAAATTGTTGATTGTCCATTGTGCTTTTCTGTGTTTTTTGCCTCGCCTTTTCGGCTTCCCGACGTTCCAAGACGGCCCAAGAGGCCCCGAAGACAGCCCCAGGACGGCCCAAGAGGCCCCCGAGAACGCCCCAAGACGGCCCAAGATAGCCCCAAGACGGCCCAAGAGGTCCCCAAGACGGCCCAAGAGGGCTCCAAGACGGCACCAAGAGGGGCCCCAGAGGGCGACCAAAAATTCAAAACATCTAGCTTTCCGCCCCCAGGAGCCCCAGGGGGCCCCAAGAAGGCCCCAAGAGGCCGCCAGAGGCTCCCAAGAGGCCCCCAAGACGCCCCAAGGAGCCCCCAAGAGGCCCCCAGGAGGCCCCAAAAAGACCCCCAGAAGCTCCGAAACGGCTCCCAAGTGGCTGCAAAACTGCCTTCCAGAGGCCTCCGAGAGGCGTGGCGCGAGATCCCGATACACATGCAAGAAGCCTCTAACCCAGAACCATGACCCAGCGCCTCCTCTCTGTGTCCCCCTCCTCCTCCTCCCCCTCCTCCTCCACCTCGGCCCCCTGGTCGTCATCATGGTCGTTGTCGTGGTCGTCGTCGCCGTCGCCGTCGTCATCGTCCTCGGCGTGGTCGTCGGCGTCGGCATCAGCGTCGTCATGATCGTCGAGGTCGAGGTCGTGGTCGTGGTCGTGGCCGTGGTCGTCGTCTTCGTGGTCGTGGTCATGATTGTCGTCGTCGTCGTCACTGTCGTCGTCGTCGTTCTCGGCGTCTTCGTCGGCGTCGACGTTGGCGTCAGCGTCGGCGTCGACTTCATCCTCGTCCTCGTCCTCGTCCTCGGCCTTGTCGTCGTCCTCGGGGTCGTCGTCGACGGCGTCGGCGTCGTCGTCGTCGTCGTCGTCGTCATCACCGTCGTCATCATGGTCGAGGTCGAGGTCGTGGTTGTCGTCGTGGTCGTCATCGTCGTCGTCGTCGTGTTAATCATCGTCGTCATCATTGTCGAGGTCGTGCGCGTGGTCGTGGTCGTATGGTCGCCGTCGTCGTCGTCATCGTCGTCGTCGTAGTCGTCGTCGTCCGCGTCGTCGTAGTCGTCGTCGTCCTCGGCGTCGTCGTCGGCGTCGGCATTGGCGTCGTCGTCGTCATCATGCTCGAGGTCATGGTCGTGGTCGTGGTCGTAATCGTGGTCACTGTCGTGGTCGTCATCGCCGTCGCCGTCGTCATCGTCCTCGGCGTGGTCGTCGGCGTCGGCATCAGCGTCGTGGTCATGATCGTCGAGATCGAGGTCTTGGTCGTGGTCGTGGTCGTCGTCGTGGTCGTGGTCGTGATCGTCGTCGTGGTCGTGGTCGTGGTCGTCGTCGTCGGCACCGTCGTCGTCGTCGCCGTCCTCGTCGTCGTTCTCGGCGTCTTCGTCGGCGTCGGGGTCGCGTCGACGTTGACGTCAGCGTCGGCGTCGGCATCGGAGTTGCTTGCTGGCGGCGAATGGGGGGGAAATTAGAATCAGCTCCCCCCTTGCGCCACGGGGGGGATCCGGAACCCTCCGTCACCCCAAGCGCAAGTGAAAAGTGCTCTGTCAAAACTCGAGCGCCGCGGCCGTTCCAGAGCGATCCACGGATCGAGATTGTTGCTGGGCCTGACAAGCCCGAGATGAATCGAATCGTGAAATCAGATCGGATCGGAAACGGATCCGATCGCCACCGGAGATGCTTCCCCCTCCCCTAACCCCTTCCCCCAGGGGCCCAATCCTGTCGTTTTGGAGGGGGGGGGTCTGGCCGGCCCCCGGTGAACGCACCACGGGCCTCACGACGGGCCATGAGGGCCCCAAGAGGCCCACAAAATAGTCCAGGAGGGCCCCGAGTCGACGATGGATCGTTCCAAGACGCCCAAGATGGCCCCCAGACGGCCCAAGAGGCCTCCGAGACGCCCAAAGAGGCCCCCAAGAGGCGTCCCAAGAGGGCCCCCAGAAGCAAAAATCGTCGCATCCCCTTCAGGAAACATATGATTTTACCACATTCGCCACTCGGGCTTTCACAACGTCCAAGGCGGCCCAAGAGCCCTCCAAGATCGCCCCATGACGGCCCAGGAAGCCCCCAAGAAGGCTCCAAGACGGCCCAAGAGGGCCCCAAACCAGCCCAAGAGGTGCCCAAGACGGCTCCAGGAGGGGGCCCAGGCAGGGAACCCGAACTGAAACTGCAAGCCCTCGGCCCCAAGAAGCCTCCAGGAGGCCCCAAGAAGCCCCCAAGAAGCACCCAAGAGGCTCCAAGAGGCCCACCAGACGCCCAAAAGCGGCCCCAAAACGGCCCCCCAAAGGCCTCAAAGTGCTGCCAGGAGGCCCCCGAGAGACGTACCAGGAGTCCCAAGGGGTCGGCGGTGCGGCGCAAGCCAAAGAATCAGTGAAGACATGAAGCGGACGAGGAGGAGGCGGAGGAGAAGACATTGCGGGTGCAGAAATACCAGAACTCTTCGACGGCGGACGGAGCAACAATCCCCGGAAGTGTTTGAACCCTTACGGCAGATACTCAAACGCCGCCAGAAGACCTCCCTTTCCTCCTTACACGTCTCTCCCTTTCACACTATGCCCCTCCCTGCTTCCATCCTTCCATGCTTCCCTTCTTCCCTCCCTTGCTCACTCCCTCGTTCGTGCCTCCTGCTTGCCCCTCTGGCACCATCGCAATACTATGTTGTGGGCCATCGGCCGTGTGTCCAATGGGTGATTCGCACACCCTTCCTTGATTGGTCGCGTGTCCTCTGTTTTCCAAACCATGCTGTGGTGTTGGGTCCTCGATTCGAAGAGACAACACCCCGCATCACACATTTCTCCCCCCTCGACCGCATACGGAATTCCACCAGGAAGCCCCAGTGGCAGCGTCCAGATGCGGCCCCCCCGCCCGCCACATCCCCATTCTGATGCGCACACACACACACACACCACGAGCTTCGTGGCCCCACCGAGGGAACTCCGCCGGAGGCCCCACTGGCAAAGTTTGCACGCCGTTCCCCGCCCAACGTTTACCCACATCGCGGCCCCACAATATATGCGGGTCCCCGCCCACCGCGTGCCCATGCTGGCACACCCTGCACAGGCTTCGTAGCCCCTTGGGCCATATAGGGCACCCCACCGAAAGTCCTCGTGGCAGGGTCCACGTGCAGCCCCCCGCCCACCGCGTGCGCATGTCGGCACACGCGCACCCTCACACGCTTCGCGGCCCATGGATGAATTCCGACTGCCCCGGCTGCGGCTTCCTGCCGACCGAGTGTGGATTTCGCACGCCCCGCACACACCTCATGGCCCCACGGGGAAGTTCACCGAAGGCCCATAGGTGGCATCGTCCACGTGCGGTTCCCCGCCCACTGCATGCCACTCCCCTCGTGGGCTTCGTGGCCACAGAAGACATAGGGAGCTCCACCGAAAGCCCCAGCGGCAGGGTCCACATTCGGTTCTCTGGCCAGTGTGACACATTCCTCGCGCGCTTCGTGGCTGCAACGTGGCCCGCCAGCGCCTCGCCTTCTGTCGACAGTCCAATTGTCTGCTCTCGCGCCGCGGACAGACCCGCTCGCGTCGCTGGAATCTTCTCGGGGCGACAAACGCGCGATGCGGAACTCCCCTGCGCTGTGCCTCCAGGAGCTGCCCGACTCCCACGCGCTCTGCCAGACGCCTTGCCCGTTGCAACACGCCTGTTGTTTTGCTCCGTGCCGCGGACGGCCCGAGCGCGTTGCCGGGCCTTCTTCCAGGCGCCCGGCGCGCGTCGCGGGGTCTCCGCGCTGCACTCTGCGCAGGGCCGCGCGAGGGTGGAGGGACAGAAAGTGGAGAAAGATGAAGAAAGTGAGTGGACACAAGACGGCGTCGCCCAGGGCTCGGGCCATCGCGGGCCAGACGGGCAGGAACGCAACGCACAACGGACACAAGCGGAGGATTGGAAGAGCTCGCGAGAAAATAGCCACGAAATGGCGGCGCCCGGAGTTCCTGCGAAGCAGAGAACACTACCCAGTCGCCCATGCCTTCTCTTCCCCCCGTCCACACCGCGGACCTTTTGTTGGCCCTCCCCTTCATATCACCTGCGGGGCGATCTGGATCCTTCGCTCGGACAATCTCCCAATCATCCTGTGGTGTTGGGCCCTCGTTTTGAAGAGACAGCGCTCCGCCCCGCCCTTCCACCTCCTCCCTCCGCCTCCCCCCCTCCCGTCCCTGCCTCTGCCCTGCGCATGTCAACCAAATCGGCATGCCTCTCACACGGCTCGTGGTCCCATCGGGAGCTCCAACGACGGCCCCAGAGGGAAATTGTGCATGCAACTCCCCGCCCACTGTTTGTGTATGTCGGCACACCCTTCACACGTTTCGTGGCCCTATAGGGAACTCTACTGAAGGACCCAATTGCAAGGATTGCATGCGGCTCCCTGCCCACCGCATGCCCAT